GGAAGACATACAGATGGCTAACAAACACATGAAAAGATGCTCAACATCACTCATTATCAGAGAAATGCAAATCAAAACCACAATGAGGTACCATTACACGCCAGTCAGGATGGCTGCTATCCAAAAGTCTACAAGCAATAAATGCTGGAGAGGGTGTGGAGAAAAGGGAACCCTCTTACACTGTTGGTGGGAATGCAAACTAGTACAGCCACTATGGAAAACAGTGTGGAGATTTCTTAAAAAGCTGGAAATAGAACTGCCATGTGACCCAGCAATCCCACTTCTGGGCATACACACCGAGGAAACCAGATCTGAAAGAGACACGTGCACCCCAAGGTTCATCGCAGCACTGTTTATAATAGCCAGGACATGGAAGCAACCTAGATACCCATCAGCAGACGAATGGATGAGGAAGCTGTGGTACATATACACCATGGAATATTACTCAGCCATTAAAAAGAATTCATTTGAATCAGTTCTAATGAGATGGATGAAACTGGAGCCCATTATACAGAGCGAAGTAAGCCAGAAAGATAAAGACCATTACAGTATACTAACACATATATATGGTATTTAGAAAGATGGTAACGATAACCCTATATGCAAAACAGAAAAAGAGACTCCGATGTATAGAACAGACTTGTGGACTCTGGGAGAAGGCGAGGATGGGATGTTTCAAGAGAACAGCATCGAAACATGTATATTATCTAGGGTGAAACAGATCACCAGCCCAGGTTGGGTGCATGAGACAAGTGCTCAGTCCTGGTGCACTGGGAAGACCCAGAGGGATCGGGTGGAGAGGGAGGTGGGAGGGGGGACCGGGATGGGGAATACATGTAAATCCATGGCTAATTCATTTCAATGTATGACAAAGACCACTGCAATGATGTAAAGTAATTAGCCTCCAACTAATAAAAATAAATGGAAAAAAGAAAATGCTCCATGTGAACTGGAGAACAGTGTATATTCTACTGCTTAAATCTGATATTAAGTAGTTTAATTCCAATGTTTCCTTACAGATTTGTCATCTGCGTGATCTATCCATTGTTGAATGTGGCCTATTGAAATCCCTTGCCATTATTTTTTTACTCTCCATTTCTCCGTTAATATCTGTTTGCTTTATATTTTTGGGTTCTCCAATGTTGTGGCTCAGATGGTAAAGAATCTGCCTTCAATACTAGAGACCCAGGTTTGATCCTTGGGTCAGGAAGATCCCCTGGAAAAGAGGATGGCAATCCACTCCAGTATCCTTGCCTAGAGAATTCCACAGACAGAGGAGCCTGGTGCACTACATTTCATGGGGTCACAAAGAGTCAGACACAACTGAGTGACTAACGCTTTCACTTTTCAATGTTGGGTGAATATACATTTATGATTCTTACCTCATTCTGATTAATTGACACCTTTATTATTATATAATAATATTCCTTTTCTCTTTTTATAGTTTTTTCTTAAGGCCTAGTTCATGCAATATAAGTTATCAGTTCAGTCGCTCAATCATGTCTGGCTCTTTGCAACCCCATGGACTGCATCAAGCCAGGCCTCCCTGTCCATCATCAACTCCCAGAGCTTGCTCAAACTCATGTCCATCGAGTAGCTGATGCCATAACCATCTCAACCTCTGTCCTCCCCTTCTCCTTCTTATATACTTTTACTTCTCCTCCTTACGTACTTACACAGATATAGGTGTAGCTACCCTTGATATCTTTTGTTTCTATTTCTATGGGATATCTTTTCCTTCTCTTCACTTTTAGTCTATGTGCTTAGTCACTCAGTAGTGTCCGACCCTTTGCAACCCCTTGAACTGTAGCCCACCAGGCTCCTCTGTCCATGCAGATTCTCCAGGCAAGAATACTGCAGTGGGTTGCCGTACTCCAGGGGATGTTCCCAACCCAGGGATCAAACCCAGGTATCCCAGTTTGCAGACGAATTCTTTACTGTGAGCCACCAGGGAAGCTATGTGTTGTCTAATACATGAAGTAAGTCTCTTATGGACAGCAAAATTTTGGTCTTCTTTTTTTTTTTTTCTGCATTAGGCCCTCTATTTCTTTTGATTGGAGAGTTTAATCTATTTGCACTTAAATATTTATTAATAAGTATGGACTTGAGTTTGTCACTTTGTTATTTTCTGGTTGTTTCTTGGTTTGTTTGTTACTTTCTTCCTCTCTTGCTACATTTCTTTGTATTTTGGTGATTTTCGTAATGTCATGCTTTGATTTTTTTCTATCTTTTGTGCGTATCTTCTTTTTGTTTGTAGCTATCCTGAAACTAAGATCACGGCATCTGGTCCCATCACATCATGGCACATAGATGGGGAAACAATGGAAACAGTGACAAACTTTTATTTTCTTGGGCTCCAAAGTCACTTCAGATGGTGACTGCAACCATGAAATTAAAAGATGCTTGCTCCTTGGAAGAAAAGCTGTGACAAAACTAGACAGCATATTAAAAGACAGAGACATTACTTTGCCAACAAAAGTTCATCTAGTCAAAGCTATGGTTTTTCCAGTAGTCATATATGGATGTGAGTGTTGGACCATAAAGAAAGCTGAGCACTGAAGAATTGATGCTTTTGAACTGTGGTGTTGGAAAAGACTCTTGAGAGCCCCTTGGACTGCAAGGAGATCAAACCAGTCAATTCTAGAGGAAATCAGTCCTGAATATTCATTAGAAGGACTAATGCTGAAACTGAAGCTCCAATACTTTGGTCACCTGATGAGAAGAGCCAACTCAAAGCTCTGATCCTGGGAAAGATTGAAGGCAGGAGGAGAAAGGGATGACCTAGGACAACATGGTTGGATGGCATCACTGCCTAAGTGGACATGAGTTTTAGCAAGCTCTGGGGATGGTGATGGACAGGGAAGCCTGGCATACAGCAGTCCATGGGGTCACAAGAGTCAGACGCCACTGAGCGACTGAATGACAACAATGTACATACATATACAAAACTTTTCTTCTCTGCTTGATAAAGCCATGAAAAAGAACAACAACAAAACAGAGAAATTGAAAAACTGAACTAAATGAAACGGGAGCACTGAATATGAAATAGAAAAGGTAAAACAAACTAGATAAAAGTAAAACATCATCGTGTAATCCAGTTGTTTTTAAACATGTTGTTGTTGTTCAGTCCCTAAGTCAGGTCCAACTCTGCAACCTCATGTACTGCAGCATGCCAGCCTTCCCTGTCCCTCACTCTCCTGGAGTTTGCCCAAGTTATTATCCATTGAATTGGTGATGCTATTCAACCATCTCATCCTCTGCCACTGTCTTCTCCCTTTGCCTTCAATCTTTCCCACATTGGGATCTTTTCTAATGAGTTGGCTCTTCACATCAGGCAGCCAATGTACTGAAGCTTCAGTTTCAGCATCAGTCCTTCCAATAAGTAGTCAGGGTTGATTTCCTTTAGGATGGACTGGTTTGATCTCCTTGCTGTCCAAGGGACTCTCAAGAGTCTTCTCCAGCACCACAATTTGAATTTTAAACATGGCTGCTCATTAAAACCACACTTGTGGGTGGGGGTGGGGGAAAGGCAATACATGGGCATTTGTATTTTCCAAAATTCCAAGATAATTCTGATATGCATCTGGATTTTAAAAAATAATTACATGTTTTTCTACTGAATGGTAGCTTTAGTGATATAGAGTTCTATTATTTTCTCTTGACCAATAGTGATATAATGGTATTAAGTGAATAATAGTTATATAATCAAAATAGTAAAAGATATTTATCAGTTTAAATATTTACCATACAGTGACTGTAGGAGCTGATAATGCTGAGAAATTATCATTCTCTACAATAATTACAATATTTTAAAATTTCACTACAACTTTTTAAAATAAAACACCAATGTCATTTATATTTTTTAATACAATTTTAGATTTATTTTACATATACATAATGGAATATTACTCAGCTATAAAGGAGATAAATTGGGTCATTTGTAGTGATGTGGAATGACCTAGAGTCTGTCATACAGAGTGAAGTAAGTCAGAAAGAGAAAAACAAATATCATATATTAATACATATATATATGGAATATAGAGAAATGGTACAGATGAATCTATTTACATTGTAGAAGAAAGTTTTTAATTTTTTTCTCTCAGCTTTGACTAAGGCTGATTTTAGCACTCAGTCATTTTGCATTCCTCCTAAAGTGAATATAGTAAATTTTTATTATCTTTAAAATAAAGTTCCATATGCCATGCCTAGGAGGAAGGCTTTGAAGAGTCTAGTTCTCTCACTTCCCTACTGAATGCTAAGTTCAGTGCCTGGCCTGCAGTTACACAGACATTTGTAACATAGTACTCATTTCCTGCTTTCTTTTCTGTTTTACTTACTATAACTTGTTTAATCCTCTTAGCAGTGCTAGATAGAAGGTACCATTATTTTATCCCAGTTTCTCAGATTGTAAAAATTCTGTCATCTTATTTAGTGCTGTGTTGCCTTAGACAATGGGTTTGAACTCAGAAGGAGGAGTACAAAGAAACAGAAAGATTTGTTGGAGCCAAGAGAAAGAAAAGACAGATTTACCCTTTGTTTCTCATGAAACAAAATGCTAACATTAGGTTGAATGTGTATGATATTTTGGCAATCTAAAAGCTGCTCTTCTTATTCAAGAAAGATCAGACTATTTTAATATCACAGTTTTGAAACTATATATCAGAAGTTCTGCTTCCTGAGCCCATCCTGAAAGTGTGAGTTTTCTCACTGTTCTAAGGAGTAGCTCATGCCTTCTTCACAGGTATATTTAAGTGGGTGAGTGCATTGATAACTTGGGCATACCTGAGCAAAAATGATGCTCTGTGTTACTTAGAAAATAAGTGTCTTTTCAGAATTTTGTGTCAGAAGAACTGGATCTTTGATGGTGCTCTGAGACCATGGACAGATTATTTTATGTTTTGTTTTCACACAACGAGAGGATTGAAATGAACACCTCTAACATTTCTGTAATTCATAACAGAATTTGTCAAGTCTTAAAGACTTCTGAAAGAAGATTATAATCAAGTATAGCAATGTAGATGTCTTTTCATCTTTCTCAGGGGGCATCTATTGATGACTCTACTCTTCAAAGCTTCTATAACATCCTTGTTTCTCAGACTATAGATGAGTGGGTTAAGCATAGGGGTAAGGATGGCATTAAACATAAAAAGAGATTGATTTAATCTGGGAGTCTTAGAAGACCCAGGTCTCATGTAGACCAATATGGCAGGGCCAAAGTAGAGGGTGACCACACAAAGGTGGGAGGAGCAGGTAGCCAGAGCCTTGTTCCTGCCCTCAGAGGAGTTCATGCGGAGGACAGCAAGAAAGATGAGGGCGTAGGAGACCAGGATGAGACTTAGAGGGATGAGGACCACCAGAAAGCTTGAGACCACCACTGACTTCACATAGGCTGAAATGTCCTCACAAGTGAGCTTCAAGAGGGCCATGACCTCACACAAAAAATGCAGGATCTCTCGGGGGTGACAAATGGGAAAATGCATAGCATAGGCTGTATGAACCAGTGAAGTTATTGCTCCCCCTGTCCAGGACACAATGACCATCTTTTTGTAGGTGACATGGCTGATAATGACTGAGTAACGAAGTGGGTTACAGATGGCAACGTAGCGGTCATAGGACATGAGAGTTAGCAGGAGGCACTCAGCAATTCCCAGGGTTAAGCTGAAGAAAATCTGGGTTCCACAACCTACCTGTGATATGATTCTTTCCCCTGAGAAGAAGTTTGTGACCATTTTGGGGACAGAAGTTGAGATCAAGGCCAAGTCAATGAGGGAGAGGTGGCTGAGCAGAAAGTACATGGGGGAGTGGAGTTGCAAATCTAGCCAGATGAGGAGAATGAGAACAACATTGCTCATAACAGCCATACAGTAGACCAAAAGGATAAGGTAGATAAGGACCATAAGGTGGCTGAACTCAGGCCAGAGCCCCAGGAGAATAAAATCTGTGGAGGTGGTCTTATTGTTTCTCTCCATGGGTGAACATTATTGCCCAGGAAACAACTGTAAGAACACTGTTCCATCTGATGATGTGTTACTGTACACCTTGTCTATTTTCCTTACTCCCAGGACGCCTTTGAATAATTTTTTGTAACTTTTTTCCTGTTGAGGTCTCTTCAGTATTATGCATAACTTCTCAAAATATATAATTTTCATTAATTATCTCATGGATTACTTAATAACCTAATGTTTACACACTGTACCTACTGTTACAAACTATAATCACTAACACTAACCAAATAAGAACACAGATAAATTAAATGTTCTGTCAATAACAAGTCAGTCAATTTGATGAAAATTCTTAAAGAACTAATTTAGTCATCACCTTGAGGCCCTTCGCAGACACAGGCCCTTCAACACAACAATTATGATGATTTTACATTTTGAAAAGTCAACATTTTCACTCAATCTTATGAGGCTTCATGAAAAATAAAGATCTTTTGAAGATGGGAAGTAGAGCCTTGATGACCTGAGTAAAGAAAAACATTTTCAGAATTGAATGTGGTCTATGTTCACCTTTTCCTCTCATGTGAGGAACTTTCCCACTTCCTATGAGTCCTCCTTACTTTGATCCTGACTCAAGCTATGGCAAACCTAGGCAGCGTATTAAAGAGCAGAGACATCACTTTACTGACAAAGGTCCATATAGTTAACGCTATAGTTTTTCCAGTAGTCATATATGGATGTGAGAACTGGATCATGAAGAAGGCTGAGCACCAAAAATTGATGCTTTTGAAAAGTGGTGCTGGAGAAGACTCTTGAGAGTCCCTTGTACAGCAAGGAGATCAAACCAGTCCATCCTAAAGGAAATCAACCCTGAATATTCATTGGAAGGACTGATGCTGCAGCTGAAGCTCCAATACTTAGGCCACCTGATGTGAAGAGCTGGCTCATTGGAAAAGACTCTGATGCTGGGAAAGATTGAGGGCAGGAGGAGAAGTGGGTGACAGAAGATGAGATGGTTGAATGGCATCATCGTCTCAATGGACATGCATTTGAGCAAACTCTGGGATTTAGTGAAGGACAGGGGAGTCTGGTGTGCTGCTGTCCATGGGTTCACAAAGAGTCAGATACAACTGAGCAACTGGACAACAGCAACAAGTATCTCTTAAGTCAACTGAACTGGAAAAGAATGACCACCTATATATAGCACCAGTATTTAGGGAGGAACCTTAAAAATATGATTTTTTCCAGTTCCACTAAGTCACCCTCCTCCTTGTAAACTTTTAACCTATCATCAAGGTAATTCCTGGTACTAGCTGACGTTGCACAAGGAGAAACACAAGGTCAAGATGGAAGAGATTGAATAGAAAGCCCAGAGATAAATCCACGAACCTATGGTCACCTTATCTTTGACAAAGGAGGCAAGGATATACAATGGAAAAAAGACAACCTCTTTAACAAGTGGTGCTGGGAAAACTGGTCAACCACCTGTAAAAGAATGAAACTAGAACACTTTCTAACACCATACACAAAAATAAACTCAAGATGGATTAAAGATCTAAATGTAAGACCAGAAACTATAAAACTCCTAGAGGAGAACATAGGCAAAACACTCTCCGACATAAATCACAGCAGGATCCTCTATGACCCACATCCCAGAATTTTAGAAATAAAAACAAAAATAAACAAATGGGACCTAATGAAACTTAAAAGCTTTTGCACAACAAAGGAAACTATAAGCAAGGTGAAAAGACAGCCCTCAGATTGGGAGAAAATAATAGCAAACGAAGCAACAGACAAAGGATTAATCTCAAAAATATAAAAGCAACTCCTGCAGCTCAACTCCAGAAAAATAAATGACCCAATCAAAAAATGGGCCAAAGAACTGAACAGACATTTCTCCAAGGAAGACATACAGATGGCTAACAAACACATGAAAAGATGCTCAACATCACTCATTATCAGAGAAATGCAAATCAAAACCACAATGAGGTACCATTACACACCAGTCAGGATGGCTGCTATCCAAAAGTCTACAAGCAATAAATGCTGGAGAGGGTGTGGAGAAAAGGGAACCCTCTTACACTGTTGGTGGGAATGCAAATTAGTACAGCCACTATGGAAAACAGTGTGGAGGTTTCTTAAAAAGCTGGAAATAGAACTGCCATATGACCCAGCAATCCCACTTCTGGGCATACACACCGAGGAAACCAGATCTGAAAGAGACACGTGTACCCCAATGTTCATCGCAGCACTGTTTATAATAGCCAGGACATGGAAGCAACCTAGATGCCCATCAGCAGACGAATGGATGAGGAAGCTGTAGTACATATACACCATGGAATATTACTCTGCCATTAAAAAGAATTCATTTGAATCAGTTCTAATGAGATGGATGAAACTGGAGCCCATTATACAGAGCGAAGTAAGCCAGAAAGATAAAGACCATTACAGTATACTAACACATATATATGGAATTTAGAAAGATGGTAATGATAACCCTATGTGCAAAACAGAAAAAGAGACTCCTATGTATAGAACCGACTTGTGGACTCTGGGAGAAGGCGAGGGTGGGATGTTTCAAGAGAACAGCATTGAAACACGTATATTATCTAGGGTGAAACAGATCACCAGCCCAGGTTGGGTGCATGAGACAAGTGCTCGGGCCTGGTGCACTGGGAAGACCCAGAGGGATTGGGTGGTGAGGGAGGTGGGAGGGGGGACCGGGATGGGGAATACATGTAAAATAAAAAAATAATAATAATAATAATAATAATAAAAATGTTAGCATCAAAAAATAAATAAATAAATAAAAAGATGGAAGAGATTGCTAGGATACAGCTTGTAAGAAATTATTTATTTTAAAAGGCAGGATATCTTCTGTTTAGCAAAGTTTTGATTGGGTTTATTAACTCTATAAACAGAAAGATTATTGTGGACCACTTAAAAGTATAACCTCTGGAAGATCAGCACCATGGTTTAAAGCTCCTGCTAAAAGACCACATTTACCTACCTGATGTCCTTGGTCTAGGAGAATCGTCCTTCTGTGCCTCTCTTCTTTCCTTTGTAAAATTGGACTAAAGCAAACCCACAACATAGGGGGGATGTGCAGATTAAAAGTATCAGTGAGTATAGATTTGAGAACATTGCCTGGGCAGCAGTGTTAAATGCATATAGTAGGCATAATTAGAAGTTTATTTTGCACAAGAGGCAGAATCAAGGCCTTCTGGTCCCTTATTACACACACAGCTGTGCGCATTCCCACAGTTAATCAGAGTGATTCTGCTATGTTTCTTGTAGGTTGACTGGTAAGGTACATTGGACCTAGAGGATATTTTGCAAAGTGAAATAAATCAGAGAAAGCCAAATACTGTGCTATATCACTTATATGTGGGATCTAAAAACCAATGAACAGAGAGTAATAGATACTGAGAACAAACAGGTGGCTGCCAGAGTATAGATGGTTGAAGGGCAAAGAGAAATATGAGTCACAAACATGAAATATACAGAGTGGGCAGTATAGTCAATATCTAAATAATATCTTTGTGTGGTGATATTGCAACTAGACTTATCATAGTGATCATTTTAAAAAGTAGAGAAATAAGGACTTCCTTGGTGCTCCAGTGGTTAAGAATACATGCTATCACTGCAGGTGGCATGAGTTTGAGCCCTAGTCAGGGAACTCAGATCCCATATGCCAACAGCATGGCCAATAAAAATGTATATAGAAAGACTGAATCATTATGTTGTGTACCAGGAAAATAACATTGTATTGTAGGTCATTTATACTTCAAGAAAAATCAAATAAACAAAATCACAGAAAAAAGATCATATTTGTGGTTACTAGGGTTGGTGGGATGGGAGAGAGGAAATTGGCTGAAGGTAATCCTTTCGACTAAAAAGTACAAGCTTCTAGTAATAAGGTAAATAAACATTAGGGATGTAATGTACAACATGATAAATATAATTAAACTGCTGTATGTTAAATACGGAAGCTGTAACTAGAGTAAATCCTGAGTTCTCATCAAAAGAAAATTTTTTGTATTTCTTTAATTCTGTATCTCTATGAGATGATGTTCACTAAACTCACTGTGTTAATTATTTCATGATGTGTGTAAGTCAAATCTTTATACTGTACACCTTAAACTTATACAGTGCTGTATGTCAATATCTCAATAAAACTGGAAGAAAAAATAATGTCAAGGACAGGAATTTATAACAGGTTTCTGAGTGCTGTATGGGAGGAAGTGTTGTGACTAAGCCACAGATTTGAGGCGTGTTTTTAAAAAATCAGTGGATAGAGGGACAGCAATTCAGTTTTACTTGAACTAACAAATCATATGACCCACTTTCAAAGTCCGGAAGTCCCCTCCCCTGCGGTCCTCCCAGTTAGCACCCACTGCTTCTCTGTCCTCTTGTGTTCATCAGTCTATCACAGTGTATGAGGCAATTTGCCTTAAGCCACAGCTCTTTGTGGATAAATCTTTAACCCTGTAGATTGTCAGCCTTTTCAGAGGAGAGGTTCTGCTTTTTTCCCTTAAATGTACTTTGAACTCCCAAGATTGCCTAGGCCTGTAAATTG